ATGACTGTTGATGCTGATGATGTACAAGAAAATGAGGGCATGACTGTCGATGCTGATAATGTACAAGAAAATGAGGGCATGACTGTTGATGCTGATAATGTACAAGAACATGAGGGCATGACTGTCGATGCTGATAATGTACAAGAAAATGAGGGCATGACTGTTGATGCTGATAATGAGCAAGAAAATGAGGGCATGACTGTCGATGCAGATAATGTACAAGAAAATGAGGGCATGACTGTCGATGCTGATAATGTACAAGAAAATGAGGGCATGACTGTTGATGCTGATAATGTACAAGAAAATGAGGGCATGACTGTCGATGCTGATAATGTTGATGTTTTTAATGAAAGTATAGATGATAACAGTGAAATTGTTGATGAAGATGATGGTGATGGTGATGATGACGATGACGATGAAAATGATAAAGTTTATGATGCAAGTAACCACAATCATCTAAGACTACTTTCATTAAATGTATGTGGCCTCAGAAAGCGGTTAGAATATCAAGAATTTACCAATTTGATTAAAAACAACGATATCATAGGATTTCAGGAAACCCAAACTGATTCTCTAGATGATCTTCAATTACCAGGTTATAAACTGTACTTTCAGCATAGGAATGGAGCAATTAGACGTTCAGGTGGCTTGGGGGTAGCAATAAGATGTGATTTGGAAAATTACATATCAGTTATAACAGACGAATGTGAATATGTACTGTGGATAAAAATATCAAAGACACTATGTAACACCAAACAAGATCTGTTTTTAGGAACAGAATATATAACTCCGGAAAATTCAAATTACTTTACAAGTGAGACATTCAATGAATTTGAAAAGAATTTACTTTATTTTCTCTCTTTGAGTGAGTATGTTATCTTGATGGGTGACTTCAATGCAAGAACTAAACAGCTATGTGGTTATACCATATTAAATAAGCAAGTACTCAAAGAAATTGATATTGATATAAATGATATGGGTAATGAACTTGAGCCTGATAAATTATTAGATAAACTTAATATACCACAGTTCAGGGCTAATCAAGATAATGCAAGGGTTAATAATTCAGGTAATAAAATAATAGAGATTTGTAAAAATCTTAACTTATTCATCTGTAATGGTAGACTGGGACAGGATAAAAATGTAGGTAAAACAACATGTAATGATGTTAGTGTAGTTGACTATGTTATAGCCTCCCCCTTGTGCTTACCTCTGTTTACTGACTTAGCCATTTTAGACTTCTCACCCCTATATTCAGATGTGCACTAGCCCGTGGCCTTTTCTTTAGCCACCACTGTACTCCAAGAACAAATTGTAGGTATCCAGTCCGAAGTAAATACAGTACACAATACTCATCCCAGACCAAAACGTTATAATATAGATAGAACTAACAGGTTTCTACAACATTTAAATGCTGAAAGGGTAAACATTCTCACTCGGAAAGCACATGTGGCTAGACAAGGCCAAGCTGACCCACATCTGATCAATGACATAACTGAAGAGGCCGGGCACGTGCTGATAGACGCTGCACGCGCTGCCTTCGGGACCCGGAGGCAGGGTGTCGGTAAGAAATATAAGATGAACAAACCATGGTTTGGAAAGGAATGTATAAATGCTAGAAAAAGTTTTTACAAAGCAAAACGCCCCTTGAAAAGATTTAATTCTATTTATATTATAACAAACGCCTGTTAAAATATGAATCTAAGGCTTATAAGAAATGTATGGATTAGCATATAAAACAATATAAAGATAACTTAGGTAAAATGTTAAGAGAAAAACACAAACACTCTCCAAAAGAGTTTTGGAAAATGTTAAAAGGAGATAAAAAAGATGACAATATTTGTCCTGAAATTGAAGAATTTTACCAGTTTTTTAAGTCACTCAATGAGACAACTTCAGAAGACCCGGAAATGAAGGAATGTACTATGGATACACAATATGACTGTGAAACTTTAAATGGAGATATCACACCTGATGAAGTTATGATAGCAGTAAGAGAACTAAAGAGAAATAAAGCATCCGGTATTGATTTTATAGAAAATGATTATTTTATTGATAGTATTGATTTATTAACCCCTTTGTTAGTTGAACTATTTAACCTGATATTTGAAAAGGGTATACTTCCAGAATCTTGGTTAGTGGGTATAATTAAACCGATTTACAAGACAAAAAGGTGACCCACTTGATCCTAACTCGTATAGGCCAATCACTATCCTTAGTTGCTTTGGAAAACTATTCACCAGAATTTTAAACAACCGTTTAACTAAATTCTTAGATAAAAATAATATTCTAACACCTGCCCAAGCAGGATTCATGAAATCTTTCTCAACTGCTGACAATATATTTGTAATTTATATGCTTATGCAAATTTTAAGAAATAATAAACAAAAATTATACTGCGCTTTCATAGACTTTACTAAAGCTTTTGACACTGTTTGGCGAGTGGGATTGTGGAGGAAAATGCAGACTATTGGCATCAAAGGTAGATTTCTTACGTTAGTTCAAAATATGTATAAAAATATTAAATCGTTGATACAGTGTGATGATAAAATGTCAGGTTACTTTCCTTGTAATATAGGTGTCAGACACGGAGAAAACCTATCACCTCTATTATTCTCAATTTTCATAAATGACGTGGAAATCTTTTTGCTTTCATCTGGGTGTGGAGGAGTTAATCTCAACTATGATGAAGATAAAGACTTAATTGTATGGATCCAACTCATAATTCTATTGTATGCAGATGATGCTGTATTATTTGATGAATCACCAGAAGGTTTACAGAAAGACTTGGACACTTTTAATAAATATTGTGAAGAGTGGAAATTACATGTAAATATAAATAAAACAAAAATTGTGATTTTCGGTGGTGGCCCATCGAAAAATTCGAAACATAAATTACACTATTCTGATAAAACTCTAGATATTGTCGACACTTATACGTATTTAGGAATTGTACTTCACAGGAATAGAAAACTAGTATCAAGTCTTAAGTCCCTCAGTGATAATGCTTTGAAAGCAATGTTTTGCCTGATAAAAAAATCAAGAAATTTAAATTTACTTTTGGACTGTGTATTATCAGCTTTTGATACGATGGTATTACCAATATTAACTTATGGTTCAGAAATCTGGGGCTTTGAAAATTTAGAAATTATAGAAAGAATACACCTCAAATTCCTCAGACTTATCACAGGATTAAGAAATTCAACTCCTCGTTATATGATATATGGCGAATTAGGTAGGCTACCATTAAGAATAATAATTTGTAAACGAATGATATCTTTCTGGCACAAATTAACATATCAAACTGGTGTGTATAAACTTTCACAGCTGTTATATCAATATCTGTCAATTAACGGGAACAAGACTATTGCATCAATAAATCCCTGGGTTAGATGTGTTAAGGATATATTAGACAGTATTGGATTATCTTATGTATTTAACAGTCCGTCAATCTGCACAACAAAGTGGCTAGTGTCAGAAGTAGAGCAAATACTTAAAGATAACTTTTTTTCAGAAATGGAGAAGTGACGTTAATTCTAGTTCTAAAGGCTTATTCTATAAACATTTAAAGGACACTCTGGTTCTCGATAAATATCTTCTATTGCCAAAACGAATAGCAATTCCAATACTACGATTTCGAACCTGTAATCATAATTTACCTAATGAGACTGGCCGATGGAAAAATATTCCAAAGGAAAATAGAACTTGTAAATTATGTAATTCCCAATCTATTGCTGATGAATTTCACTACTTATTCAGATGTTATTATTTTAAAAGAGAGAGGCGAACATTTCTCTCACCATATTATACTGAATGGCCAAATATTATAAAATTTGTAAAACTCTTATCAACAACAAACACACAGGATCTAAAAAAATAATCGAGATTTATTGTAAAAATGTCCATTAGTATTAAAAATGCTAGGTAATCACATGTTGTTATTAATTGCCATCTTGTCTGCTTTTTGTACATATGCATAATTATTTATTGTAATATGCTCTTGTACCACCTTTGGTGGTTTCTGAGAATAAACTGATTCTGATTCTGTATTTTACAAATAGCGACTACAGGGAAAGTGGTTAGTAAACACACAACCAAATATCTATATAGATACTTCTCCTATTAATTACATAAGCAGTATGCAAAATGTTAAATTGCATCATCAAATCAAGAAGTACATGTTTGATGGAAATTACAAATAATTCGTAGTTTGATAAGCTACACCCGGACAAGCGTATTTAATAGTTACTTTTGAATTCAATCGTTTTGTTTGTGTTATTAATAAACTGTAAAGATATGTTACTGTCATGGAAATTCCAACTGTATGCATTCACTTCTAACCAAAGCAGTAAGAATCTTGCAACATTTGTTTTGATGCTCTACATCACCATGGCTTTCGCTGTTTCATTGCAGCAGCTCAGATATTATTTATACAAAGCGCCATAACAACATGTAGATTGTATTCTGAATACAACTTTCGCTCATTTTCAAGGACAGCACACACATTTGCATTTCAATACAGTGCACACTGTCTACCCCTTGATCCCGTTAATGAACGCTTTGACCAAAATTGATACTCCTGCTTATTTGTTTCGCTGCGTGTTTTTAAAATGCAAATTGAAATACAGCCAGCCAATTCCAGATATTATGGTACTTCAAATGGCCATCAAACCCTTTCGTGGCAGCCAAATGATACATTCCCGTGAAACAATAACTCGGGTAAGTGACATTTTGTGGGAGATATATCAAGCATAAAATCCCTCCTCTTATCATCATGTCCGGTTTCCTCAGGAACTTAATACACATTTCAGTAGTTGATATCTTAGCTTGAAGTAAAACGCAATATCATTTAAGTGCTTGGATATTGGTCTACAACACGTACTATGTCCAGAGTTTACAATATGGAGAAACATAGATCACTCTTCCATTGTGAACATTCAATTCAGTTTTCAGATTCTCAAACAAATTTCAAGGCGTAAATAAATATGACAAGATTTTATTGAACCAATTCCATTGGTTTGAGAATATACATAAATAGCCAGCATCACACTGCAGGTGATAATAACTCAATAATAGCCGATACCTGAAACAAAAAAATAGTAGAATAAAGTTGGGATATATGGATAAGTCACAACGAAGTCTTGAAACTAGCTGCATGATAAGCTAAACCAAATATTAGAGAAAGTAGAGAATAATTTTAAAGATGTTTTGTAAATGTCATCAGCTTTGTCGCGTAAAATAATAATACCACATAGGTAAATTATATAATTTTGCAAACGAGACTGAAAGTGGGATACGATAAACAAATGATATCATATTTTGTGAAATACCTTTTCCCAATCCCATTCCGTATCCTCCAATTCCGCCGTAGAGACCACCATAGCCTCCAAGTCCTCCGTACAGACCTCCCATGCCTCCGTATAGACCTCCCACGCCTCCGTATAGACCTCCAATGCCTCCGTATAGACCTCCCACGCCTCCATATAGACCTCCCATGCCTCCGTACAGACCTCCATAGCCTCCGTACAGACCTCCAAGGCCTCCGTACAATCCACCCATTCCGTAGCCAATTCCGCCCAGTCCTCCTTTCAACCCGCCAATTCCACCATACAGACCGGTAGGCTCGGCAAAGGCGGTAACAGCCAGGCAGGCAACAAGAGCGGCGACTATCTTCATCATTTTGAGTATCTATTGAGTAACGTGAAAATCGTTGTCAAGAAAGGGAAATAGCATGTTATCGTTACTCATCTGGTAAATTCAGTTCACACCACTCATTGTGAATTATGTTATCAGTATTACTTTCACCTGCATTCATATATTTCCCAATTTACAAGAGAGTTTTATGTTACATATTCGTACTTTTATGAATTGGCTCAACATAAAGATTGAAAACAGCCAGATGCGCAGCAGATGAATCAAACATTAAAAGTATACATATATATCACAAGCAAACCTTAGAATAGTACTTACAGTTTGGTCTTGACTCGTATCTGTGTCTCAACGGCAGGTGAAGATAAGAGATGATGGAACAGTTTCCCCCATCCTTTATATATACCATTTGTGAATTATACGTGATTGATTTACCTTGGGCTGGCCACTTCCAGGTAAATAACGCACCTCAGTTTAATGGTGTAAAGTAAGCATTCTTTTCGCATCAAAGGGCCCGAGGTTATCACCCTACGGGTACACATGCGAGCTGGTATACGTGGACATCGATTAAGGAAGTACAAGACAACGTATATAAAGATGGCAAACAGACAAACTCTCTCTGGCATCGTCTAACTGCATTTCAAACAGTCCTCGATACTCAACGTTTAACCTATATCAAGTAAATATTCGATAACGGTCTGAAAAGTGTGTATCCAGTAAATATATGATGAGGGAGCAACATACATCAGACATTATAATGCATCTGTGTGATACGACATAACAAGAGACCAGAAAACTGACGCAGCACACTAGTACAGCCTTACCACAGTACAGCAGTAGCACTGTACCGCACGGGGTCAATTATGCTAACCGTTTCCGTGTAATACAGCAGCCTGTTCACAAGAAAATAGCTTCTGCTGAATATACTGCAGAAGTCCCCACATACTACATTATTCTCCCCGAATTTTATTTATCATACTGCACAATAACAATAAACTACAACAGCTTTATTTCCTAACTGATAGGTACATATATTGGTTTCTTCTCACAAAGGGACTGTCACTATGGATACTCACAACACCTGTTTATGCGTGTAATATCTGTTAAAAGCCTAAAGTACACCAATGTCTTCTGAAAACATGATTGACATATGAACAACAGCTTGTTTACTCGCTTCTTTGTTGACTTGTCTTTGTATGTGTTTGTGACGGAGGAACCGTTGGGGCAGGATACGCTTACTTTTTGGCAACCGCCAGGTATCATCACTATCTGGTAGTCATTCATACGCACATGCGTGTGATCATTAAAGTCGAAATCGTACAATGGTCTCTGCTTCGAGCAGAGGTTTCGAATGATTCTGAAAAGGGTTATGTGGCTTTTATTTGCAACTGCGTTTCTTGAGAGAACTCTCTTATTTTCAACATATCATCTTGATAATTGTACACTTCATTATCAAGGCATTTGCAATAATACGAGCATCACTAAATTTGTTATCTCAATTTCTATAGATAACGCCTGAATATTGATATGATAATTATAGAATGATGACCCTTTAACTACATAAATCGTCGACGCCAGAGAATAATCAGGCTCCATTATCTGCTGAAACAGATTTCATTGGGTGTAAAAGGCAAGATTGTGCTAAAACATATACTGAATATCAGTGATGTCACCAGATGTTAATGAATAGTTTATATTTGTATATATTTGTTGGGTGTTTCATGAGCTCCTCCGTCAGTTCCATCGTGTGCCAGATTGGGAGAATGTTGTCTTTTGACAATGTCTCAGCCATTCATACATTTGCATATATACTTAATCACTGTTGCAAATAACTCACTTTAACGTGTTTTAATCTTGGGGTGAGTCTTTGGTTCTAAACATTAGAAGAAAGAAGAAAGTATATAAATCGCCTCTACCCTTTATGTATGCCCTTGACATGATGAAGCAGTAGTGATAGTGATGACTGTGTTCTTTTAAGGCGTGTTTAAACTAAAACTCATACCAAGAATAAAACACGCGCAAATCAGTTTGACAATGTGTAACTATATAAGGGTTTCCCAGAAAAACCGTACATCTAAAAGTAAAGACGTGTGTTTTCAGAAGAAAATGATCTTAAAGTATAACACAAAGGTGTTTTCAAAGATAGACATGATCAAACGACTTGTTTTTACAGTCTGGTTGTTGTTATAAAGACTTATGACAAGCATTAACACAGCAAAAAAAATGCAGTTTCCGGTATCCGGATACCTGCCGGATACCACCGGACACTTACCCAAAACGCGTCCGGGTATCCGGTGGCAGATACCTTGCCGGATACCAGATCTGTGGTATCCGGCATGGACACCTCACCTGAAAATATGTCACCTGGAATCCGGGTATCCGGCACCGGATACCTCACCGGATACCTCAATCTGGGTGTCCAGGGATCCGGCACCGGATACCTCATTCTGAGTTTCCAAAAACATGTCACAATTTGGGGGGTGCATTTTGTTCAATTAAGTGTGAAACACCTAAAAATATATTGGAAACTAACCAAGAAAACTGAACATTGCTGAAGGTATCCGGCAGGTATCCGGATTCAATTTTTCGAGATGTCTTTCTCCTAGTAAATAATGTTAGCCTGTGCATAGCAGATAGCTGTAGTAATATTCTGTGTTATTTTAGTTGTAAATATCCCCTTGAAGTTGAGATCTATGGGCATGTACTTTTGGTGAAAACATTTTTCAAGTTCATATATATTTCAATTTAGATGTTCAGCGTATTAAATGAAAAGCATTCAGTCCTGGTATGATGGTATCCTTACATTTCATCTTCATATTCCCAGTTTGTTCTAGCCTAGTGGTTGAAGCATTCGATTCACCACATCTGTACATTGCTTGGTGTCACCCATCATGATATTGTTTGAATTTTGCTCATAAAGTGGCATAACACCATACTCACTCTGACAAAAAAATGCTCACTTGGGCCTTTGTTCCTGGTGAGATTAAAAGATTATTTTGGAACTGTATCAATACTTGTTACATCTTGACAGACGAGTTTCATTGACCCAAATGGGTGCATAAGACTAATGGCATCCACAGAAAACACCTAATAAAGTACTGGTACATAAAAATATCAATGTAACTTTTCTACTGACATGGAACTAAAAACTTCGTTCAGTGAGCTGTATTAATTGTAGGAAAACATTCAGGGCATTAGTATATTTGATATATGTTAGCACCTATGTTATGAGTGATCAATATCATATTTCTTTAAAGAAGCAAAACAAAAAAATTGTTAAGATAAAAAATCATATTTATTGATTTTATGACATTTCATTGGTTCAGTAACCAGGTGTTTGCAAGAACATTCAAAAACAGAAACAGACGCTTCAATGCCATTTTCTAAATAAACAAATTAGTCAAATCTCAGAAGAATTTCAAGGTAGAAGAATATCTAAAGTCAATTATGTTTGTGCAGTAAACCACAAAAGTCATTCAGATTTGTATAGTCAGCGTCAGTGTACACCACATAAACATAGTCTCAATGCTGTGGTATTAATTCCTTTAGACTTGATTAATGTTGTAATAAAACAACCTACAGAATCACACTGATGTGGCATTATTCATTCAGAATCATCACTTTCTGAGGTGAACCTGTTAGTTGTTCTGGGGAGGATTATTCATCATCCGGAGAGTCCTTTGTATGACTTTTCTGATCTGGTGTCATTGTGAAATCCAGGTGTCTGAAACAATTTATAACATCTTTAAAAGCTTGTTATTAAAAATATAAGAAACACACATATATTGACAAAGGGTAAAAAGTTGGTTGCTCAATGAGTAAGGTAATGACAATTTATCAAGCAACTGTTAACCAAACCATGTTAACCAATGTAAAAAAGCCACAGCAAACAGTAAATTTTACAGAAAATACAAAATTGTAATTGATCTTCTGAAAACAATTCCTGTAGTGCCATAAGGCAGGCTCACCTGACTTTTTCTCAAATGTTTGCATTACATCAAAACATTAGGAAAGGTAAACAAGGCAATGCAAATTGCATAAAATAGGTTCTTATACATAAAAACAGAACTAACGTATTTGACGTAATAAGCGCCTCGCTCTAATAAGCGCCCACGGGAATATTTGCTAATATATTGGCTAGTGAACAATCCCAATTAGCACCCTTTCCAATTAATCAATGTATACAAGACTTATTTATTTGCGTATAATACACACTTGTGTGTGATATGCATTATCATATTTTTATCATTTATCCTATCTTTAATTAAGATTAATAATAACGACATAAAATGCCAAATATATTGGTCAAGTGTAATCATAATTTAAGTAGTTCTATTTGGTTTTGGAACTTTTCAAGGGTAATTGTAAATATATGTGTATTCCTATTTGAATACTCATTTGATTGTTATAAAGTTACACAGTATTGCATCTATCGTCTGTTTCTACAGTGGAACCTATCTTTGATTTGTGTGACATAACTGAAGCATACCCCAAGTTCATTATGCATTGTTATGCATCTGCACAGAGTGGTCAAAGTCCTTGTCACACACATAGTTTGCTACAAGGCAGAATCCAATAAGTACAGTTGAGACATCAGGTTGTATCCAGACAAACTGTCTGATAATCTCAAGTATGGTCTTGGTCGCATCAAGGGATGTAGCTAATCCTAAATAAACATTAAACAAGTGACATAATCTCTTCTAAAGAACACTTGATCAAAGCCTGCCCCACCTTTGATGTTTATCATCTTGTTACGCTCACAACAGCTCATTAGCAAGATGAACTCAATGTCAACTCATGGTGGATTAGGGATTAACAGGGCAATTAGTGTCAGGTGGGTATTATCACTTGCAATTGTC